CTCTTGGGGGCATCCTCGACCGGCTTGGGCGCCTCTTGGGCCGTCTTGGATGCAGCGGGCGCCTAAAAGGCAAGCGCGCCAAAAGTATAGGTTTCCCCATCGGAAATCTGCGATGTTTGCTTATTGGGCTCCCTCGGCGTGCCTCTTGGGGCGTTTTCGGGGCCTTCGCGGGCCTTCTTGGCGTCGTGGGAATCGTCTTGAAAAGCGTCTGGAGCCATCGCTGCGGCCTCCCTGCGGCCTGGTGGGGTCCTGTTGGCACCGGGGCGCCGAAACCCAATAAAAACAAAAGGAACACGACGCCTGGTCCCCGCATTTGCTATCGAGGTCGCGGCCCCGGGCCCCCGTGCCTCGTCCCCTGGTATATATATAATACGTATGTATATGTGTATGTATGTATGTGTATATATATACATACATACACACACACATACATACATACATACATACATACACGTACGTGTGTGACCATATGGGAAACACGAAGGACCCGTGCCCCAGGAGAAACCTGATCTATAGAAACATACGTACAACACATCGGATTGGAACCACAGGAGAACGACAATATCTAGGAGCATACGTAAAACACAAAAAAAGAATTCGTGCACCTGGAAAAGGCCTGGTACATAGGAGCGTAAGTAAAACACATAGGATTGGAACCGCTCCTGGGGCCTCCTGGAACCTCCTGGGGCCTCCCGGGGCTTCCTGTGGCTGCCTGAGGCCTCCTGGGGCCTCGGGGCTGCCTGGAACTTCCTGAGGGTTCCTGGAGTTTCTCGGGGCCCCCCGGAACCCCTAGTAGCATTTTTTGTTTGTTTTGGAACATCCTGGGGGTTCCTGGGGTCCCCCGAAACTCCTCGAACCCCCTGGGGGCCACCGCGGGGAGCTAAATCCAGCAGGCCGCCTGAGCCACGGCCGCGATGTATGCGCGCACGGACGCCGTGCGACTGGCATCGATTTTGAAGCTACGCCGCTGGCGGCTCCTTTAAACCCAGCAAGCCGCTGAAGACATCGTCAGCATCAGCACTGCGCGCAGACGGGTCTGGCCACCAAAACAGACAAACCGCCTGAGACATCCTCAATAGCTGCTCCGGAAACGGAGGATGTTGGGCATGCAAACAAACAAACCGCCCCAAACATCCCCGCATTGTGGGCGCGAGCGAAAGCCGTGAGTACCCCTGGCAGCCCCCCGTTAGGAATGCGAGAAGCAACGCCCGAATTTGCTATGAGCGCATGTGAATCTGGCCACCAAAACAGGCAAACCGCTTGAGACACCCTCGCAATCACGGCCTCCTGGAATGCGAGAGCAAGCGCCGAACACAAAACGCCCTCGACATCTGCTCCGAAAGCGAAGGATGTTTGGGTATGCGAACGAGCGAACTGCCTGAAACATTCCCGCGACCTGGGCTCGAACGGAGGCCGTGCAATATCCTTGGCGGCCCCCCCATTAGGAGGCGCCTCGCGCGAGACATCTTCAAAATCTGCCCCGAACACGAAAGATGTTTGGCATGCGAACAGGGTGGCCGCCCGAGACATCCCCGCAATATGGGCGCGAACGGGGGCCGAACAATACCCCTGGCGGCCCCCCATTAGGAGCGCTTAAAACCAGCAAGCCGCTCGAGACATCCCCATCATCTACTCGTCGTCGTCGTCGTCGTCACCACCCTCGCCCATCATTCACCATCGCCATCCTGCTCACATAATGCTCGCACCATATCATGGTGAAGAAAGGGGGGGAGGGGGGGGGGGCGGGAGGGGTGAAAAAGGTCCTGCGCGGTCAGAATAAGAACAACAACTATGTCATGATATGGGGAATAATTGATCATCGTCGGGCATGGCTTAGAAAGCTTCTCAGGAGGCCAGAAGACTTCCGAACCTTCAGAGAAAACAAAAAAACAAGTTGTCTTCTTCCTCGCTCGCCGCCGAACAGACGCTTCGCGCCGCTGCGCGGAGGCCTGGCTCTGCGGACCGAGTCTGCCGATGTCCTCGGATGGGCGATGCCACCGCGCTCGATTGCGCCTGCGGCCCAGCCGCCCATCGTCGCGCGTCCCTCCCTTGGCCCTGTTGTCGGCCCTGTTGCATTTAGGTTGTCTCGCTCTGGATGCCGCCCCCAAAAAGGGGGGGGGGGGGGGGGGGGCTGCGGGCCACGCGCCGCTCCCGCGCCGCCGCCGCCGCCGTCTACGCCCCCGCGCTCTTCGACGCGCGGCGCCGCTGACGCTGACGCGGCTGCCGAATCGGATCTTCAGCCGTCCGAAGACCTCTCGCGCAGCGCTGCCGATTTCGTTGAGCTTGCATGCGAGCGCATTTTTTACTCGCTGCTGGCGAGCTACGCTGGGCGCCCACTGTGCCATGCCCTGCCGCGCGCGCGCTGCCGCTGAGGCCGCGATCATGACCGCGCCCGTCCGCCAGAGCTGCCTCCGAGCGCAGCCCGCGCCGGGAACGACGCCATCGCTCAGCCAGGTTCAAGCGCAGCCCGCGCCCGCGCCGCCCCCGCGAAACCGCCCCGAGCGCAGCCCGCGGCCGAAACGCCCTCGCTCGCCGAGCTCCGCCGCCGACGTCGTCGCCGCCGTCGCCGCCGCCGCCGCCGCCGTCTCGCGGCGCGGTCGTCGTCGTCGCTGCCGTCGCCGCCGCTGCCTGCGCAGTCGCCGTCGCCATCTTGGCCGCGCGACCGGGCGCGGGCGAGGCCTGCCGTCGAGCTCGAAGGCTGAGGGCGCCGCTGCCCGGGGGCGGCGGGGCCCCGACCGGCCGCGTCGAGCACGCGCCGTCGGGCGACGCGGAAAAAGACCGCTCGCGACGAGCGCCCCGAGCTGCCCAACTGGACGCGGAGCGGCGAATCGGGCGGGGAGGGGAAGGCGGGCTGCCCCTTCGCGGGGCGCCGGCGGGGGGTCGCGTCTAGGGGGGGGCGGGGGGGGGGGGGGCGGGTTCGGCGCGCCTTGGGAGGAGGGGGCGCGAACTCGACGTCGGGCGGGGCGGCATGATATGACGGGCGCCTCGTTCGACGCGTCGGGGAGCGAGCGCGGAGGGGCTGCGACGAACGCGGAAACTCCAGCGCATTTCGCGACGGCCGAACGCGCTCGGGACGGGGGCAGGGACTGCGCGGGGGGCCTCGGAAAAATGCGAACGACGCGTCCGGGCGGGCGCGGGCGCGCGATAACGAGTCGCCTGAGGAGAGGGGGGTGCGCGCGACGCTCAGAATGAACCTTTCTACAGAGGAAGGCGGGGTGAGGGGGCAAGGACGAAGACGGCGGGAGTGGGCGATGGGAGGGAACGAAGGAGGACGCGGGGGAGGCGGCGCGACAAACGAAGGGGGAGCAAAGGAGGAACGAAGGAATACAGAAGGGCGGGAGGGGAGAGAGAAGGTGAGAGGAGGGAGTGAGAATAGAAGGCGAGGCAGGGAACGAGGACGAGGTCTTGGAACGCGAAAAGCAAACGAGAGACGAGGGACGATGGAGAAGAGAGACGACGGAGGGGGCGATTATAGAGCAGAGAAGAGAGAACCGAGACGAGAAACCAGAGGCGAGAGGGACGGACAAAGGAAACCAGGGCACTCCACCCCGCGGGGCTCCTCGACGGTCCCTTCGCGGCGCGCCCCTGGCAGGTCCTGCAATCGATCTCAATCAATATCCAGTGCGGTCCTCCTGGGGGCGGGACTGGGGATGGGCAAGTTCCTCGCCGTCGTCTTCGTATTCGTCTTCGTCGTCGTCAACGTCCTTCTCGTCCACTGTCTCCAATCATCCGTCCTCCCCCGCCCTCATGTAGCCTCCGCTGGGCGAGCGAGGGCGAGGAGAGGGATGGGGGTGGTGGCGGACCAGTGGCTGGAGAGACGAGTCAGCGTCCGTCACAAGGATGGCGGAAGAGTGGGGCGGAGCCAGAGACGGAGGAGAGGGAAAAACGGAACGGGTGTTGAGCGAGGAAGGGCGGGAAAGAGACAACACTCGGCTTGAGGACGCGAGGGGGGACGGACGTTCGAAATTGGTGCGATGCCTCCACCGCTCTGGCCAGCAAGGTGGCCAAGAGACGCGAAGCGTCAGACGCGGAAAGAGGACGAGAATGATGTCATTAATGGAGGAGGACCCCTGTCTCTTCGCTCTCGGTGGCGGACTGAACTTCGTGAGGCTACCCCTTAATGGTGTGCGAAACCTGATGTAATGACCCTGGAGAGCGCAACAAAGGCATCACATGAGTGAGTGCAAGGAAAGCGAAAGGCGGGAGGAAACAAGGAGGGGGACACCTCGGGACATCGCTGCTTCAACCTCGAGCGCCCTCCCAGGCACCCCCACCTGACCGCGTTTCGCGGCGGGGGACCCCGCGGTTTCAACCTTGAACGCCCACTTGGGCATCCCCCCTTGACCGCGTCTCGCGGCCAGGGGGCACCTCGGGACACCGCAGCTCCAACCTTGAGCGCCCTCCCGGGCATCCCCCCTTGAACACGTCTCGCGGCCGGGGGGGCACCTCGGGACACCCTGGAAGGAGAAGTGTCGCGGGCGACGGGACGGACCACGAATGGCCCGCCCCATCGCCGGGCGACGGGCCGCGAAAATGGCCCGCCGCCCAAAACCACGCTCCTCGTGGCAGGTGTTGATGGCGCCTTGGACAACAATGAAGTGTCGCATGTGACGGCTTCCCATGCCCCCCGAACAGTCGCCGCCTAGAGTGCTGGGCTGGCACGGTGGCGGGACTTGCCGTAGGCAGCTGGATGATACCCATTGTAATCTGCTCCAAATCGAAATTATGGTGGTCCACTCGGAGGCGCAGAATATTATACTTCTTCCCCATGAACAATAACACGAGCGTATACAGCGAGCGAAGGAATACCTTCCAGCAACACGCAATGCCAGCGTATGCTGCAAATAATGGTAGCGAGAATAAAGACAGAACGTCCATGCTCAGAGCGACAAGACACGATATGCCACACAGGGAGCAAGCCTTAGACAGCACGGCTAACAGGTGAATGCAATATGGCTGGAACAGCAGAGCGCTGTGCTGGCGCCACAATGAAAACATAGTCACGCAGAGGCTGCCCACGAACGACGTGAACTCCTTGGGCACTCAACTTCACAAGCCCCTGCCTCCCTTCTCACTCCTCCTGGCCTGACTCCCTTTCCCTTCCCTTCCCTTCCCCCTCCCCCTCCTCCCGTGGGGCGGTGGGGCAGAGTACTTAACCGCATGCCCGGGAGTTGAAAAGTCCCTCCCGCCCCCCTTCAATTCAGAATTGATTATCTCCGGCCAAGGCAGAGTTGGTCGGGGGGGAGAGGGGCGGCCAGGCCGATCTGTCCTATCACGGGGGAAAGTTAGGAATCGAAGCTGCTATCTTCTTCTGCCGAGTAGCAACATCATCAAAAAACGTGTGGCATGGCAATCGGGTTCTCACAACTACAGCTTTCGCAAGTCACGAATAATCGGCTCCCCGCCCTCCTCCTTCCCCCTCCTCTCCCTGCTCGTGCTCCTCCTGCTGCTCCCAAACCTGCTCCTCCGGTTCTTCCTGCACCTTCTGCTCCTCCTGCTCCTGCTCCCTGCTCCTGCGCAGCCCTGCTCCTGCTCCTCCTGCTCCGCATTCGTCGTCGTCGTCATATTCGTCGTCGTCGTCATGTTCGTCGTCGTCGCCGTCGTCGTCGTCGCCGTCGTCGTCGTCGCCGTGCCGGGACAAATCGTAAATTATCCCACCAGGACCCCGAACGTTCTTTTCTCCCGGGTGTTATTAATGTCAGGGTAGTTGCTTATGCCTCCACCGTGGCTCTTGCTCTTGAGGATAACAGCCCGCATCACCGTTCGGGCACGCTGACCGCCGCCACGCCTTCGCCCATTACCGCCCTCCTCTTTCCTCGCTCCCCAATGCCTCCTCTGCTTCCGTCCGCCCTCCGCCCGTTCCCCCGAGCTCCTTGTTCAGCTTGAAGTCGGCGGGAACGCCCATCAGCCAGTCCACCAATGAGACCAGCGCGCCCCCGTAAGCCCAGTCGCTGAGCCCCGCCAACCCCTCCAGGATCCGACCGTCCAGCCTCCGGTGCAGCGCGAGGAACAGCGCCAGCCCCAGCAGCACGTCGCACACCACGGCGGACACCGACCTCAGCAGCAGCAGCCGGGATGCGTACGACTCGGGCAGGGCTGCCGCCCTCGCGGAGACCTGGGGTGGGAAAGTCAGGGGGGGCACGGCTCGGGGGACACATCGCCGATGGATCGGCGATGGGCCCCAGATAGCGAATGCGGGCGCTCCTGCGCGGAACGTGGGCTGCCGGGCCCCATGTCAGCGATGAAGGGGCCATTGGAGGTCGATGCATCCCCCTGGGCCGATCCCCCCCGCAGCTAGAGGCCTCCCGGATGAACTCCGAGTAGATGGGGCCGGACTATCGCGCCGCATCGCCGAGGCATCGGCGATGCATCACTGATGCATCGGCGACGTCGGCGTGGAGAGGATCGGGCTCCACATCGAGCCGCATCGCCGATGCGTCGGCGATGCGGCGCAATCCTCCGACCCCACCTGCTCGGACCCCGTCTGGGAAGCCTGGACCATAACGCTGCCCCTGAAGCACAAAAAACGCAATAAGCAGAAACTTTTGGCGCTCCGCGCGGACTTCTTGGATCTGCGCTGGACCCGCGCCGCCAGGGGCGCCAAGCGCGGATCCAAACAATCCGCTCGGAGCGCCAAGAGTTTATGTTTTTGGCGATGTTTCTCCTTCCACTGAAGACCAGCAGCTCCAACCACCCGCTCTGCACGGCGAGCCTTCGGTGGCACTCGCACAGCAGCGCGCTGCGCGAGCACCAGCCTGCTGGCGGCCCCCCCGCGGCGGCGCCCAGGGCGGGCCTGCTGAGCCCGCAGAGCAGGAGGCCGAGGGCGGCGGCAGCCCGGGCGCAGAGGATCGGCCACACGCAAGACTGCTGGACACGATTGGATCGGGCGGGTGCCGATGGGGGGTGACCCTCACTGGGGGGGGGAAGAGAAGGGCCCCAGAGGGGCCCTTTGGGGCCCCTTTTGGAGCCAGCTGGTGCCCCAAAGGGGCCCTAAAGAGCCCCTTTAAAGCCCATTTCTCCCTCCCCCCCGCCCATTTCTCCCCCTCCCCCCCTTTGGGCCACCCCCCATTGGCACCCGCTCGAGTGGCATGACGTATCTACTGACCCGGTTCAGTGCATACCCGCGACAGTCGGGCTATGCAGGATCCTGCAAGGTCCTGCAGGATCCTGCGCGCCAGCCCAAGCCAGTGCAGCCCTGGCTTCGCAGGATCCTGCAAGTTCTGGCGCTCTGGCCGACCCCAGTTTGCGTTGACCCCCGCCTCGAGGATCCCGATGACCTTTGGTGCGCGGCTCTCTGGCCGTTGCGCACGGTGCGACGGTAGCGGCCCGTGTGCCTGGGCCTGGCCCCGCGGCGCCCCGCCGCGGGGAGGCCCAATCCAAGCGCACAGGCCGGTGCTGGGGGGACCCACGTGGGCCCGCCCCAGAGGCCACTGCAGCGAACGGCCACTTGGGGTCAACGATAGGGGGGGGACACATCGACCTGGAATCGGCGCCCCGATTGGGAATCCGCACGCTCCTGGGCAGGTTGGGGCTCTCGGGCCCTGTCGGCGATCGGTGGACGATTGGGGATCGATGCATCCTCCCCTCTGCCTATAGAGGCCTCCAAGATACGGTCGGAGTAGATGGAGTCGGAGGATTTCGCCGCATCGCCGATACCTCGTTGATGCATCGTTGATACGTCGGCGACGTCGACGTGGAGAAAATCGAGCTCCGCATCGAGCCGCATCGGTGATGCATCGGCGATGCGGCGTGATCCCCCGACCCCATCCACTCGGACCCCACCTTGGAGGCCTGGAGCCCATTTCCCCCCCCTGCCGTTTTTTGCTCCTGAGTCACCCTTGCGCGTGGCCGAGAGGAGGGCGGCGGCATCGGGAAGAGACCGCCGGGGCGGCGCCGCGGGCAGGGCGGGCGAGTCGAGGAGCTCTCCCGCGGCGGCCAAGGGGGAGCGCGCGAGGCCGCCGGGGCCGGCGCTCTGCCCGACCGTCCACAGCGGGCGCTGGACGCTCGGGGCCCCGCGGGCAGGTGCGTTTCGACGGCCCATGGGCATCGGGGAGCCCCGAAGATGCCGCGGCCGCGGGACGAGCCTGAACGGGGCCCAGGGACACACAAATATATCACCGCCGAGGTTGGAACAGGCACCGATCCCAGGACCCCCAAGATTCTTTTAATCTTTTCGGGGTTTTCGTCTTCCCCTCCACTTCCCACATTTTCCCAGATGTCCCTGTAAATCAACGGTTATGTGTGTGTGTGTGTCTGTGTGTCTGTGTGTCATTTTCCCCTCCTGAGCTTCGACGGCCCGGGGCATCGGCGTGCCCCGAAAGAACCGCGGCCGCGGGCCGAACCGCTCCCCATGTGCCCGTTACCCGCGCCCCTCCCGGCCCCTGTTGAGCAGGGGCCGACCGTCCCACCACTCCCATGGGCCTACCACGACATGCTCTTTAAGACGCAGACGTATTCTAAGAACAACAACAATGTTCTCAAAACACAAACCCGATGTGTTAAAACAAGACAGTCCCAGCCGGAAATGTTCTAAGCACATTCCGTGCAGACCACGCACAAGTTCTTAGAGCACTCTGTGGTGGGCCTATAGGCGAGCCAAAACGCTTCGCCACTGCTTGACCCTGGCCCTCGACACGCCCCGTCCGGCTGGGGCCCCGAGATGCCCACGAGGTACTGCAGGGTCCGGGAGAGCGCCGCCGGCTCCTGGAAGACCACCACCTGCGGCTCGGCCGCGGCCGCGCGGCCAGGCGAGCCCTGCGCCCCGCGGTCCAGCAGGGCCACGCACGCGTGCCCGATTGGCGAACGCCGCGTGAGCAGCAGGTACGGTGGCGCCCAGTTGGTCGCCGCCGCCGTGCCGCCCTCCTCCAGCAGCTCCCCGATGACGGACGGGGCTCCCGCTCCCGGCGGCGGCGGTCCGCCCCACGCGCAGTGGAGCTGCCTGCGCGCATCGTCAGGGCTCGGCGCGTCCACCAGCGATGCAATCACTGCCTGGCTTGGCGAGGCAGGAGCAGGGCATCCCGGGTCACGTGCCCCATCGGAGACGCACTGGGTTTTTGTTGGATGTTCGACTTGGAATGCGAAGCTCGAAGGGGGATCAACGAGTCCGGAGGAGGACGATGACGGGGTTTACACGGCGACTGAGGCCTGCGCGGAATGGCTCACCAGGTCATCTTGTTATGGCTCGGACTCGGGATTGTTTCTCTCCCGCACATGAACACCCCCGCCTAGCTTCGACATACCATTGAGTAAGACATCCAATAGCGTTGGCACCATCATAGGAAGCCAAGGGGAAGACAAAATACGAAACAGAGGCAAGAAACGGGAGGGTAGACCAACACAAGCCGCCAGCCCCTTGGAGACGCCAACCAGTAATGCACTCTGCTGGGCGATTGTCTTGTGTTTTTGTTTGCCTATTATCTCTGCTTTAATATTACTATCTACTGGGGGGCCGAGGACGTCCGAGCCTACACACCCAGGGGGTCTGCTCGAACGCCTGGCCGCTCCAACTTGCCCCAATGTTCACTTTGGGCGCCACCGCAGCATGTCTCCTAAGGCGGCCCCGGCATGCAGCAAGCATCTGCCCCCAACATGCCCCCAACATGCCTGCATGCCCCCAGCATGCCGGCAGAAAACGGCCGACGGTGTCCCCAGCATGCCCCCTAAGGTGGCCCAAGGAGGGCCCAATACGCCCCCGAAAGGGCAACACACATTGAACATAACACATCGTGCTTCCATGTAGATCACCGAGGATGCCCTAACAATGCCCCAAGCTGGCTCCACAGCGCCAATAGCCTCGTCCCAGTCCACGTGGTATACCTCGGTGACCCAATTGGTGGTCTTAAGAATGTTAAGAACTTGGCCGCGAGAGGCCACCGCCGTGTTTATGCCCGTACTGCGGCACCTGGTTGTTGCCAGTGCGGCGGTGGCACCGCGAAGGGCCAGCGAGACTGCCTTGGCAACTTCGGACTGCGTGGGCACTCGCAGGCCGATGCGGGGGCCCTTTTGACCTGGCCTGCGGTGTACCCCGATGGCCTTCAGCCTGACTGAATCAGCATAGGCCATGCCGAAATTAGGGCCAGGGTCTGGGTACCAGATGGAGTCGTATTTGGCTGCGGTGTCTGGCGGCGGGGTGCCTCGGCCGATGGGAATGTCGAAGGTAACCCCTTGTTGGCCAGACGCGCTGAACGCGTCGTGGACGTGGGCAGGCTTGATGCCGAAGGTGGCCTGCAAACTACGCTTATCCGCCCGCGAGCTCGGCAAAGGCGACATGCTGGAAGAGCTGCTCTCACAAGAAACCAAAGCCTTGCTAGAGCTCCGCGCCTAGCGCCAGCATCCTGGAGTTGGCCTCGGCGCCGTGGTGCCACTGCATGGCTCGTTGCTGAGCAAACCCGTCACCTGAGCCAGGCTACCGCTGCCCTTTCATTGGGACGCCGCTTGCGAACTGCTGGGGGGACAATTCGGTCGGTAAGGGCTCCGTCGGAAGCGGCAGTGGCATTGTCTTCCCAGATGGCACCGCGGATCCACGTCACTTGCGACGCTGGGTCGACCTCCAGCCCCATGGCGTTCTGAATACGCTGGACCTCAATGCGGCCGAATTGGTGGATGGTAATGTCGAAGTGAGCGGGTTGCGGTCGGGTGGATTGTGGCGTCCGCCGAATGACGGGGACGTTACCCTCGAGACCTGTGCGCTGCGGGCCCTTGGGGCCGAGGGCGACCACGGCGAGGGGGTCGTCTTGGCGTTGGAGCGCAGCCAGGATGGTTGGCGCGTTTTCGGCCGTGTACAGTGAGGCTGAGCTCTTATGCGAGGTCGTACCCGTGTCCGTGTCTACCACCAGCTCGCGGGCCTCGGTGACTGGGACGTCCCATGGCTCGGATCGAAGGAGTAATATGGGGTAGCGACCGAGGCCTTGGGCGGCTGCGACTGAGCCTCAACCGCCCGTGGCGTTCTCGGCGCGGGTGCGCTCGTGGCGCATGCGGGTCCGAGACCTTGTGAGTGGCGCACAGGCGGTGGAATACGCGTCGGAGGTCATCTGGAGAATCACGGTGGTGGTCCATACCAGCTCCAGTGCGTCGCTGGCTTTCTGGGCAAGCTCGTTGTAGGCGGGCACTCGGCGGTCACCTCTGCCGTGGCAAAAAGCAACGATGCAGGCATCCTTCCGCGCGAAGTTGCTCTCGGGGTTTGGGTGCGGTGAGGCGCCCAGTCGGCTGAGCCGCTGGAGGGTGTGCCGAGGTCGCACGACGGAGCGAGTGCGGAGGGGCCATGGCGCGCGCCGGCGGATAGGGTGGGGTCGACGTATCAGTTGCGCCCCGGGGTGGGCGGGAACGGCCTCGCCTCGGGAAGGCTACAGCAAAGGCTCCCAGGCACCCCAGTGCCTTGAGCCGAGATTAAAGAGAGTGAGAGAGATAGAGAGGGAGACAGAGAAAGAGAGAGGGAGAGAGAGAGAGAGAGAGAGAAACAACGCAAAAGAGAGAGAGAGAGGGAGAGAGAGAGAGAGAGAAAGAGAGAGAGAGAGAGCTACAACGAGAAAGAAAAAGAGAGGGAGGGAAGGACGGACGGACATAAAGGGAGAGAGAGAGACAGAGAAAGAAAGAGGGAGAGGCAGGGAGAGAGGGAGGTGAACGGGACCGAGAAAGGACAATAACGAGAGGAGGCAAACAACAACTAGAGAGAGAGAGAAGAGCAAACAACAACTAGAGTAAGAGAGAGAGAGAAGAGAGAAAGAGAGAGAGAGAGAGAGAGCAAACAACAACTAGAGAGAGAGAGAGAAGAGGGAGGAGGACGTGCGGAAGCGAGGGAGAGAGAGCACCGCGCCCCCCCTGGCTCCGCAGCGGGATATGGCAGCGAGGGCGTCAGCCCTAGGGAAGCGGTCCTCTTCTTTCCTGGGCTCCCGCGCCAGAAGCCATAATCTCTCAAGTCGACTCGAACCAAAGCGCGCAGCAATCGAGCGATGATGCGAGGCGAGCAATACAAAATAGCAAATAGCTATCTCAGGCAAATATAAACATCAGTGCAATACGAATATCATGAAACGCGAGAGGGGAGAATATGGAGGGAGAGAGACATCAAAAAGAGAGCGGGGCTTCGGGGCTGACAGGATAACGCGTTCTTTCAACAGGAAGTGGGAGGCTCTCGGCGCTGCCGCCTGGCCCGCTGAGCGGCCCGCGCCGCCGGGCAGCCCCGGGAGCCACCAGCCCACCAGGAAGCCCCGGCGCGCCGCGGGGGCGCCGCTCCAGAGCGAGGCGGGCAGGAAGACGCGCACGACGACCGACGGGCGCGTCCCAGCCCACGGGCCAGGCGCGAGGCTGATGACGACGAACGGGCAACACAGACCCATACCCACAGGGGGGTCGGCGGGGGGGGGGACTTGCTATGGGTACGGGGTGCGGGGTGTCGGACCGCGGGGGAGGCTCCCGTTCGAGCGGAGACCTCCATCCGACAACACGCACCCACAGCCCCCTCCGTCCTCCCTATGGGTTTCGGTGCGTGTGGTCCGTTCGTCAGCTGAATCTTTTGAGGGGGCACCCTTTTCGGGTGCTGCTGGAGGTGCCCCTGGCTCAAGGTCGGCGGCGAGCGAGAGGGGGGGAGGTGAGAACGAGCAGGCCTTCTCAGAAGGCGGCGGGACTTCTCAGAAGCCCTCGCGCCTTCTGAGAGGTGTTTGTCAGTCTTCGGGGAAGGCTTACAAAACTTCTCAGAAGGCCGGGGGACATCGGAGACTTCTGAGAAGGCCCGCCCCTTCTCACTTGAGATGATAAAGCAGGATGAGGATGAGAGGGAGGGAGAATGAGCGAGCAAGGGGAAGATGAGACGGGGAAATGGGACGACAATGTGGATGTGGGGAGGGGGACGGGAAGAAGGGTGATAGCGCAAGGATGAGGAAGGACGGGGGAGCGGGGAGGTGCAATCATATCATGACGATGCCAGGACGAATCCGTCGGCATGACGGCGACCTCCGCGCAACCATCTTCGGTCGCCATCGCCGGCGGATCGGGTTGCGCCGAAACCTGAGCCACTACAGCAAAAAAGGGAGGAGGGAGGAGAGACAGGGGGTAAAAAGGAGAGGAGAGGATGGGGAAGGAGGAGTGGGAATGTGACGGATGGACAACGATGGGAGGAAAAGGGTGTGGTGAGAGTGCGGAGGAGCGATGAAGCACGAGGGATAGAACGGGCGGAAATGGGAAGGAACAGGAACAGTTAGACGTGGGGGGAGGAGGAGGAGGAGGAGGAGGAGGAGGAGGAGGAGGAGGAGGAGGAGAAGGAGAGGGATGAGAGTGGCAGAAGTTTGAAGGAAGAGGAGCAGGAGGAGAAAGGGCAAAAGGGGGAGGAGCGGGGGCGCGACGAGGAGGGCGGGGAGGGAGAATGGTGAAGAGGAGGGGAAACATGGGAAGACCTAGCTGATTACGATAACCATGCCTTCTCTCCCTTCAATCGGCCTGCAGACTGGTAAACGTCATTCCCTCCAGAGAAACGCTGTGTCGCAACGGCGCGGGACGGGCCACTTTGCTGCGGCGGCGCCTTGGCACCCCAGAATCACCACCGGAAACAAACCGTGCTAGGACAATCGAGCCACCCTGTCCGAGCTCTGCAATTTCCTCCTCCTCCCTCATCCCCCCTCCCCCTCCCCACCCTCCTCCTCCGATTCCTCCCCCATCCTCCCTGGGACATGACTGTTTCCCAGCCCTTTCTTCCACTGCATGCTCCTTCACATCCCTGATCAAGGCAACTCGCCAGGGCATCCTTTCTGGATGGGCTGGTGGGGGTTCGCGAAACGTCTAGAATTGACGTACCAGCGGTCCACGTTGTGCGTGCTCTGACTACCGCGGTGCCCCGACTATGTCCTCGCGTCAACGCTCTGTAGCTTTGATTCAACGCATGAGGTAGATTGCCCTTCCCTGGAAGCCCTATCATCCATCCGCAAGTGCGGTGGTCACTGTTTCGTCACAGAGAGGAATCAAGCCACGACAACACCCCCGCCGTCGGGTAAGGAACTATTTACAGTCGCGATGAACCAACAATGCTCAGACCCATGGAGTAAGCACTTTCGAATCGAAATTCGTCAATAGAGGCTACGGCGCGGGAAATAACTTACCAGTGCTCGCCTCCTACCCGATTCTCGACAAAGTGGCTGGGACGGGGGGCCATCATGAAACAGTCATGAAGGCATGAGGCATCAAACAGGCAACGGGACGCGCATATCGATTTTGACACCCCATTTGGCATCAGGAGTGAATTCTGTGCTAGTGGTCTTCTGAATAACACTGTGGATGTATCAGCGCCTCGCCAATCCCACGAGACCCCACAAGGCGCCCCCCCGAGGGCAGCAGACGGCGGGTCACGAAGCCGGGGCAGATGATGCTGCCCGCCCGTGGGAAGACGGTCTGGCCTGCGACCGCGCGTGGGGCGGCAACTTCCCCTCTCGCTCGCCCGCTCGAGGAGGGGGAGGAGGGCGGAATGCCAGCCAAATGCGGCCTCTCCTGCCAGCCAAATGCGGCAGGTTCGTGTCGTGACGACCCCGGCGTTTTTCCTTCTGACACCACGTGGATCGTTCCACCTCGAAGGATCGGCGGTTTCTCCATCGCCAAGTCGTTCGCTCTTGGCCGATGCTGGGCCGCTGGCGGCGATCAGCCTTGAGCGCCAACGCCAGGGTCGCCGTCGCGCCGACACCACGGGAATATACCGTACAGCTGCGGGCTCTGCTTCTCACGGGACGGAGCCCTGAGCCCCAGAGGCGGCCAGCGCCGCCTGGGCGGCCGGGGATGTCAGCTCTTGGGAAAGAGCGATCAAGGTAGGGACGCGCGCGGGGAGGGAGAGGAGGAGGAGGAGGAGGAGGAGGAGGAGGACGATGATGATGATGATGAGGAGGAGGAGGAGGAGGAGGAGGAGGAGAGGAGAAAGGAGGCGAGCGGGCGACTGAGAGTTGACTACTGTCAGACGCTCTTTGAGCGCCTTTGGCCTCGGGCTATTGGCCTCGAGCGAGCGAGCGAGGCTGCTCCCCGTGCGAGGGGTAGCGGCAACGGTTCGCTCGCTCGGTGGAGAGGTAGGAGGGACCAGATCTCCAGCGCCCTTCGGAAATCACGGCGGCCGATCCTAATCTCCCTAGACCTTAAGCAGAAAAGGGGCGGGCGTTGCGGGCACCGGGGCTGTCGAACAACAATTCCGCAGCGGAGAAGCGGTGCCTGCGATGCGGGCGGTGAACGATAGCAAGGCGGAGGGCGGTGACCCAGTGGACCACTTCCGAAGACGTCTGGGAACTTTCTGGAACCCGTGGACCCAGAGAGTCCCCTCTGGGTCGGGCAACATGTGTAGAGCCTGGATAATGATAGTGGGTCTGCGAATGATAAGGTCGCTGCTGACGAGGTGTGTTCGCGGCTGTGCCGCAATGCAGGCGTTCCGTTTAGAAGCTGCGGGGCTTTGCAGAACGCTTGATCCCCTCATGGTGTATGGCAGGCTGCGAGAAACCAGGCCGAAGGCCCTTCGCGAACTTTGCCTTGCTCTCTCTCTCTCTCTGCCGGCCTAGGTCCTGAAACCACTGCGCTGCAGCGGCAGAAGTCGCGTCGGCTCAGTGTGGGGGACCATGGGGCCGCGACCATACGGATGCACCACGGTACCCCGACGATCTCTGAGCCAAGCGTGCGAGCGAGGAGGCTCGGGCCATGCAGCTGCCAGCGTTAAGAAGCGTAACACTTGTGCATCTGGCAGGCCTCGGCACACGGCACGCAGAAAGTGAAACCAACAACTCGTGGCGGTCTCATGTTGAGATGGTTGGGCCCAAGCCCTGTATATACTTCTTGATTGGCCTGTTTTCCACCACCACCACCATAAGTTGGAGGGGGAGGGGGTCCTCCTCCTCCTCCTTCTCCCCCTCCCCCTCCTCCTCCTCCTCCTCCTCCTCCTCCTCTTCCTCCTCTTTCTCCTCCTCCTCGTCCTCCACCTCCTTCCTCCCTCCAACTTATGGTGGTGGTGGAAAACAGGCCCATCACTTCTACAACGAGTCCACGGCATCGCAAGCACGCCCTCGGCGGCCGCGATCGAATGAACGCCAGTGGCAGGATGCAATGGCATCGCGTCGGCTCACTCTCGCGTTTGCTGGCGGAGGGTGAAGTTACGGAAACAGCGATGCGTCTGCAAGCGGCAGCCGTGGGTCGGTCTGGCCACCATGTCGAGGGACCAGGAAGGGAGGGCGACACCAAGACAAAGGCCACAAGAGGCACAAGGCTGCGCTGTCAGCATCCGGCTTGGGCACAGCGCGCCCGTTCGCGGGCCCGCCCCCAGAGTGAATCCGCTCCAGTCCGACGCTCAGACCGAATCAAGCGAACGCTTGGCCTGCAACGGATCGCACGCACGGATGGAGAAAGTGGGAGGAAAGCGAAGGACGGCAAGACGGCACGAGAGGAACACGCACCAGGGAGGACAAGAAGGACGCGACACTGGGTAGGCAAGGTGAACTGCTTCATGGCCGCTCGCGCTTCCTTGCGGCCGCCACAAACTTCGCATGCCGTTGCTGCGTGGGGGGGGTGACCACTCCTGGAAAAGTTGGCAGTCCTTCTCCCTGGGACCTCTCCTGGTGTGTGCGTGTGTGTGTGTGTGGGGGTGTAGGTGTAGGTGTAGGTGTGTGGGTGTGGGTGTGGGTGTTTGTAGGTGTAGGTGTAGGTGTAGGTGTAGGTGTGGGTGTAGGTGTAGGTGTAGGTGTAGGTGTAGGTGTGTGTGTGTGTGTGTGTGTGTTTGTGTGTGCGCGCGCGTGTGTGTGTGTGTGTGTGTGTGCGCGTGTGTCATTGAAACAGAATTTGAAGGTCGGAGGTCGTGGGGGAATCTGCCACACGCCGCGCGATAGGCCACCCTCAGCTACATATGAGAGAACACGTTCTTGGACGGCTAGGCGGAGGTGACCGTAGTCCGTGCCAACCAAGTAATTCAGGGTCTCACGGGATCTCGAAACAAGCCTGCAAGCACCCAGAGAGCTAGAGAATGGACCAAAGACGAAAGGCAGGGGTCCAGCAATACTAAGCAATACATTCACCCTGCAGAAACAGAACAGACAGCCAGAGAAGGATGATGAGAGAAACCACTATGAGTAATTTGAAGGACGAGGAGCCCGACGCTGACGATCCTGATGCTATGAAACTGATTATGATGACGAAGCTGATGGTGATGATGATGAACATCAATTCGAATCATGAAACGCTTTCGAAAATCCAGTTGGACGGCCATAGGGAGGAGGATTGTGAAGGGGAGGCGGAGGAGTCGGATGAGGAGTAGGCTGAAGAAGAAGGGTATGGCATGAAGGAAGAAGAGAAAAAGGAGAAGCATGGCATGGAGATGAAGAGACGAAGGAGGGGGACGAGGGCGAGGAGGAGGGGGAAGTCGATCACTGGGAGCACGCCGAAACTCCGTAAACACCATAAGCCCGAACACAGGGCGGCCCAGCGGCGTGAGCCAAGGCTACCACCTCCCTTACAGAGCTCACAGAAGGGAGAGGCAGGGCGAGGTGGGAGCCGCGGCGGGGCCTCCCTCGGCCACGTCGTTGAGGTACCAGAACAGAGTGGCGAGCCGGCCCTCCCACCCGAAGTGGCTCCGGGTCCACTGCGCCCTGGGGGGCGGCAGTGCCGTCCGTCCCGCGGGCGCTGGCTGCACACCTGCGCCGGTCCTGGCCAGAGGCGTCCTGGGCCGAGGATTTGGAATGAGGCCCAGGGAAACACAAATAAGTACTCACTGCGTGGAGCTCCCCATATGTGCATCTCATACTCCTGTCACGTCTCGCTGAAGAAGTCTGCCTGTAAGCGCCTGGGTGTGAGAGCGAGTAAACGTGGATGACGGGCGCGACAACAAAGACGGCGACAACGACGAATTCAATGACGTCTTCCTTCTCTGGGCATCTTCCGGGAGAGCTGAGAGAAGCACCAGTGGAAGAGCGAAGGGGCATTGGACCGCCAAAGAAAAGAAGACTCAATGAATCTGAGCATGAATGATCTGAGTGTGT